CGAACATCAAAAAAAGCCTCCTGCTGCGTGGACCAGAAACCCCGCGCCCTCACATCGAGGCGAGCTTCGGATTTCCTGTTGGCTGTACGATGGGGAAGATCCTCCCCATCAAATGGCGCTAGCACCGGCTCCACCTCCACGTCAGGCAATACCTCCGACAGTACACCCGCCAGCAAATCGCGAACATCATTATGGCGTGCGATGGTGTAGCCGCCAGTAGGACAAGCCATTGCATGCTCAGTGGTTAGAGTTGCTCCACAAACACAAGTCTCAGGGAGGCCATCCAGCTCCAAACCGTATCGGAAGCAGAGAGCATCCCGGAAATCAGATTTATTGAGTATGGTTACTGGCTGATTGTATGACGGTTGGGCGGTCAGCCAGCTGGAGGTGCCTTTCTCACCCGCTGTTTCTAACAGTAGCCGCTGGCACGGAGACAGTCCAGGGCCAATCTCTGCCTGCACACCACGCGAAATCTGGTCCCGCTGTGCTCTCACCTGGCGCAGCCCAGCACGCACCGCAGCAACAGCCTCAGCGACACCACACGGACCACTAGGATTAGTCTCGCCAGGCTCTTCGACGCCTAATCCCACGGCAACAGGCTCTGCACGCAGCATCATCATCATCATCATTGGAAACGGCCTCTTGTACGGGCTTGAAACGGTGATAACCGAGATTATGTGCAAAAATCGTGATAGATATTCAGGTAAAAATATGACATTTAACAGTTGAATGATTAGTACCAAGTAGATATTCAATGCTGATTATTTTACCAGATAGATATTGAATGACAGATGATGTTACTTTACCAAATAGTTATTTATAAAATGTGATGTTATCCATAGTGATATTGTTGAGAGGCATAGCATAAAAATTCACTATGCGGCCAAACGACACTGGGCCACAAAGGAATTCACCCGCCGTCTGTTATAAGACCCTCGGCAACCACGAAAACACGTAATGGCCCACCTCAAGAGGCAAAACGACAGGCGGGTACGCAACATACCCATGACAACAGGATATTTGAGATCCTGGCTTCTCTCTACAAAGAGAGAGGCAAGAGACTTTAGGAATTGAGTTGTCTCAGGCCCGCTGAAACCATAAGTCGAGAACACCAGTGGGGTGAACGATCCTCGCTCGACATTCACAACGCGGCTGGCATATTGATTCTTTTTTGCCCGTTCATGATCATCATCATCATCATCATCATCAAAATCATCATCATCATCATTTGAACAGCCTCTTGTACGGGCAAGCAAAAACGCAAGACATCAAAATTCAATTAGAATGAAAAAAAAGGAGAGGAAAATGAACACAAAGTGCACTGGATCTCAATATAAAATGGAACACAAAGTGCAGTTGAACACAATGAGCATGGGGCCACCAATCGGAGAAGACCGGCTCAAAATGGAATAAAAGAACAAACATAAAAAACTTAAGACACCCGTACACATCAACGTGCTCTAAGGGTATGGCAGCTTGTTAAAAAGCTGTGGCGCTGACGCTTGTATGATGCCCGCGAACCACGTATGCAAGTAATACACAAGCGGAGCAAACACAGCGACAATACAGATCGAAGTTGTCCCATGACATCATCATCATCATCATCATCATCGAATCACCATCGAGCTTGTTTTGTGTGAAAGTATATTATTATTATTACTCAAGTCTGTGGACAGCAACTGTTTCGCTCTGTTAGAGCTATTATCCCAAGTTATATTTATACTTCAAGTATTACAAAATCATTGAGTGCAGTGGCTTTGAATCGTTTTTATCCAAATCATCATAAAAAATCATCGTGTATAAGCATCATGTATAAAAAGACACTTGTACGGGCAAGGCAACATGCATATCATCAAACTAAAGTGATTGCGGAAATCAACTCAAAATAAATAATTGGACACAAAAGAAATACAACATTCGTATTGTTCTGAACAGGTGGTGATCAGGGAAATCAACTCAAACTCAACTCAAAACGAGTTTGTCAATGTCAATGATTCAATACAAAAGCAACAAAACATTGATGATATTATGTTGTATTGGACTAGAATAAAAAATTAATCGGAAAACACCCAGTACACAATTTACCGCCATGGGCATGTGCCTACTCAGTCTGGCGACACTGGGCAACAAACGAGTTCAACCGCCGCCTGTCACTGTATGATGCACGGCATCCTCTGAAACACGCGACGGCCCATCTAAGCAAACAAAATGATAACCTTGTCCTCAACAAGCCCATCTCCACTGAGTAGTACAGACTGCTGTTCCGCTCCACGAACAGCGAGGCTAAGGATTTTAGTAAAACCGGTACCTACATTGGCTTCAAAGCTTTAATCACCGCCGACCATGTTGCTCCATCGGGTGATAATGGCCGCGTTCCTGATGGCACTTAGCACACAGGTCATAATCCTAGCATATGGAGGGACAAACACGTACAAAACACAAACACGTACAAAACAGCAATCAGATGCAGAATGGAGGCAGATCTGGACACTACTGGTGAGTAAAGAACCTGCAATCTGCAGGTGTTGCATGTTGTACAGAAGAAGCTACAGTCATGTGGATTAAAAATTCTATCGTGTACCTCCAGTCTTCTCTAGAAGAACTAAGAGAACTTGAGACAAGAAATACCAACAAAAATCTGGAAAACATACAGTGGCCAATAGGAATATGCAAACTTACGTCACACACTGGGCAATGGAAACGACTTCCAATGATTTCAGCCATGCAGGTATTGCAGCGGTAGCCGATTACATTGCACTGGCTTTGCAGCTCGATGAGCATGCACAGTGTAGCGTACTGCGCGTGCCGCAAAGTTGTAAACTCGAGATGATTCTTACGAAAGTACGCAAGAATTGAATCCCGACTCTCCATCACATTGCTGCTTTGCTGCTCGGCCACATCCTCCTGCATGGGTTTAAGGTTGGCAACCTTTTCTGAAGAAATCAGCGTGATGGTGAAGAATGCCTGGCCAAAAGGAACAAGAATAAAGCTAATGTAAGGAAATTTTGGCAGCAACGAATACAAGAAATCAGCGTAGGCGATAATACCAGCAACACCCAAGGAGCTAGTAAGGCCGTCATCACACTTCGTTCTCTGGCTTCCCCTCACGTCTGCGTCCACAGTGAAAAATCCAAAACGGGTAGTCGTGTCATCAAACAGGCACAGTTCTTGACCAGTACACGCGGTCACGTTTTGGAGAAATTTGAAGATTCGCACATACAAGGTCGCTTGGAAACAGACTGTGGGAGATACACCCTTTTATACAAAAAAGTGGCCCACTCCCTACCACGTCTACGTTTCCCGTTTCTTCTGCTCCCGCTTTCACTCCATACATGGATCATCATGACAACCGACCAAAACCTTATGTGGATGTAGACACAGCGCTTTGTACCGTAGTGTGATGACAGCGTAACAGCTGGGGCATAAACTAAGATACTAGTAGAAGGTTCAACAAGAAATGGTTTCAATAAAAGAGTAACACCCGAAGGCAATAATTTTACAAACTAATACCATTATGAACTTAGAAGTTGCGACTTTGGCGGTACTAGTCATGAAGTTGGTTGTTCCAACGAGGAGCACAAACGTCTTGCCGAACTTGACACACTGTGTATTGAGCAGGCAGTGGTGCTTTCTTTCAGGTTTGCCAAGCGGAAGGTGCTACGTGCTCCTCGTGTGCTCCGGATGGCAATCGTGAGTCAGTCAAGTGTCAAGTTCGGCAAGAAGCGTGTGCTCCTCGTTGGAGCAGCCAACTTTAGTACCATTATGACACACCAATATACTCTACAAAAATAAGTCACTTTTAAACATCGAATGTTACGTGCGGAAATTCAGTTTAATATTCAGATACAAGGGCATACGTTTTCGATAGCCACCTCGCATAATCAAAGGACGACAGAGAGAGTGTCATAATTTGCAATCACCTGTGTCCCACAGATGAAGCTGTATATTCTGATATGCTTACAGTGTGTACGTCGCAAACTTTCCTCACCCAATGCCAGGCTTGCACTGTAAATAGAGAAAGTATTGCGACAACCTAAACTGTAGGACTGAAACGAACACAATTTCTCAGCAATCGAACGTTCTTGACTCTAACGAAAGAACCAACGAACAAATGTTCTTGATTGATAATTCATGCAAATCGTCAGAGTTCGGACAAGGGCATGAATACCCGCCACATGATACAGGCAAAAAAGTATGCTTCAGGCGGGAAACCAACGCCATTGACATGAAAACCTTCAGCGACCTTGCTTCGCTTCTCAAAGTTGCGGTTAACTTTGGCCAATTGGCACCAAGGGGCGGAATCAGCGAAATAAAATTGCCAGCGAAAATGAGTTGATTTAGAGCACTTACGCGAAACTTGATAACAACTTTTCGAGCAACTGCACTGTCCAGCATTGTCTTGTACCACGGTATTAGAAGCTGTTGTGTGAGTATCCTTTGCCCAGGTGGATCACAGTTGAAAATATAGTCTTGGTTTTTCCCAGGAGGGCATGCCCAAAGGTTAACAGCGACAAAGCCTCGCTTTGCTACATAGTCCTTATAGGCGATAAGCAGCTCATAATACACTTGAGTACGCAACTGCTTTGGCCGGAAGAAATGGACACTGTCCAGATACGAAAGGTATAAACGCCTACAATGAAAATACGCAAAGAACAGAGAGCAAGAAAACACCCAGTACACAATTTACCGCCATGGGCATGTGCCTACTCAGTCTGGCGACACTGGGCAACAAACGAGTTCAACCGCCGCCTGTCACTGTATGATGCACGGCATCCTCTGAAACACGCGACGGCCCATCTAAGCAAACAAAATGATAACCTTGTCCTCAACAAGCCCATCTCCACTGAGTAGTACAGACTGCTGTTCCGCTCCACGAACAGCGAGGCTAAGGATTTTAGTAAAACCGGTACCTTCATTGGCTTCAAAGCTTTAATCACCGCCGACCATGTTGCTCCATCGGGTGATAATGGCCGCGTTCCTGATGGCACTCAGCACACAGGTCATAATCCTAGCATATGGAGGGACAAACACGTACAAAACACAAACACGTACAAAACAGCAATCAGATGCAGAATGGAGGCAGATCTGGACACTACTGGTGAGTGAAGAACCTGCAATCTGCAGGTGTTGCATGTTGTACAGAAGAAGCTACAGTCATGTGGATTAAAAATTCTATCGGGTACCTCCAGTCTTCTCTAGAAGAACTAAGAGAACTTGAGACAAGAAATACCAACAAAAATCTGGAAAACATACAGTGGCCAATAGGAATATGCAAACTTACGTCACACACTGGGCAATGGAAACGACTTCCAATAATTTCAGCCATGCAGGTATTGCAGCGGTAGCCGATTACATTGCACTGGCTTTGCAGCTCGATGAGCATGCACAGTGTAGCGTACTGCGCGTGCCGCAAAGTTGTAAACTCGAGATGATTCTTACGAAAGTACGCAAGAATTGAATCCCGACTCTCCATCACATTGCTGCTTTGCTGCTCGGCCACATCCTCCTGCATGGGTTTAAGGTTGGCAACCTTTTCTGAAGAAATCAGCGTGATGGTGAAGAATGCCTGGCCAAAAGGAACAAGAATAAAGCTAATGTAAGGAAATTTTGGCAGCAACGAATACAAGAAATCAGCGTAGGCGATAATACCAGCAACACCCAAGGAGCTAGTAAGGCCGTCATCACACTTCGTTCTCTGGCTTCCCCTTACGTCTGCGTCCACAGTGAAAAATCCAAAACGGGTAGTCGTGTCATCAAACAGGCACAGTTCTTGACCAGTACACGCGGTCACGTTTTTGAGAAATTTGAAGATTCGCACGTACAAGGTCGCTTGGAAACAGACTGCGGGAGATACACCCTTTTATACAAAAAAGTTGCCCACTCCCTACCACGTCTACGTTTCCCGTTTCTTCTGCTCCCGCTTTCACTTCGTACATGGATCATCATGACAACCGACCAAATCCTTATGTGGATGTAGACACAGCGCTTTGTACCGTAGTGTGATGACAGCGTAACAGCTGGGGCATAAACTAAGATACTAGTAGAAGGTTCAACAAGAAATGGTTTCAATAAAAGAGTAACACCCGAAGGCAATAATTTTACAAACTAATACCATTATGAACTTAGAAGTTGCGACTTTGGCGGTACTAGTCATGAAGTTGGTTGCTCCAACGAGGAGCACAAACTTCTAGTCGAACTTGACACACTGTGTATTGAGCAGGCAGTGGTGCTTTCTTTCAGGTTTGCCGAGCGGAAGGTGCTACGTGCTCCTCGTGTGCTCCGGATGGCAATCGTGAGTCAGTCAAGTGTCAAGTTCGGCAAGAAGCGTGTGCTCCTCGTTGGAGCAGTCAACTTTAGTACCATTATGACACACCAATATACTCTACAAAAATAAGTCACTTTTAAAATTCGAATGTTACGTGCGGAAACTCATTTTATTATTCAGATACAAGGGCATACGTTTTCGATAGCCACCTCGCATAATCAAAGGACGACAGAGAGAGTGTCATAATTTGCAATCACCTGTGTCCCACAGATGAAGCTGTATATTCTGATATGCTTACAGTGTGTACGTCGCAAACTTTCCTCACCCAATGCCAGGCTTGCACTGTAAATAGAGAGAGTATTGCGACAACCTAAACTGTAGGACTGAAACGAACACAATTTCTCAGCAATCGAACGTTCTTGACTCTAACGAAAGAACCAACGAACAAATGTTCTTGATTGACAATTCATGCAAATCGTCAGAGTTCTGACAAGGGCATGAATACCCCGCCACATGATACAGGCAAAAAAGTATGCTTCAGGGAGGAAACCAACGCCATTGACATAGAAACCTTCAGCGACCTTGCTTCGCTCTCCGTTGAGAGCAACATCGCCCCAGAAACGCTGTCAGATGGCTCCGTAAGGTTGCACGCTGATTGTAATAAAACATTTGTGTCGAGCATATTGGGAAAAAAATTTCAGTTCTAATATTCGTTACCTCACAAATGTTCATTCTGCAAAGCTAAATTAACGAATATTTGAATAGTCGAGATTTCAGCCCTATACTAAAGCATGTCTCATGCACGGCTTTCCCTTCCCAACGGTGCATGATTCTCCCCCAATTGCGAATTTCGACCAAATTATTGATTACGAAATTTCCCATGTGGGCCATTTTGTGGGTAAAATGGCTAAATAAGGCTTTTGAGAAGAATATCATAACTTGTCATCTTGATTTTGATTGTGAAGGGCTGCACTAAAACTGATTTCTTGCTCATGATATTCAACTCCGAAGAAACAATCAAGTTAGAAACAAATCTAAAACATGCATTTGCAATCAAACCAGTCGTTGCACTCCACGAGACACAGGTATACGCAATGCAAAGAAAGAATGAAACCATGGTCCTACACTTTTATCCTTCTCAAGCCGGGTCAGGACACGCGCAGCGAAATCTTTTCTCTTCCGTGCCGGTGCCGGCTTGCTCTTCTTCTTTCGGCCGTACTGAGGCTGGGAGCATCCCTTCTTGCCATTCTTCTGCTTGACATCATAGCAATACAGGCACACAACAACAGACCACGGTCATCATAGCAATACAGGCACACAACAACATACCGCGGTCATCATACCCCTCATACACCTAGCCAATAAAAAAAATCATCCACATGGATCACTGCATTCTCAATCAAATGTTGTCTAGTTTTCTTTTCTTTTCCTTTTCACTTATCCCGTTATCAGCCCTCTTAAGAGTTGTGTATATCACTGTTGAGGCATCCGATGGTAAGAAAAATAAATACTACTACTAGTCGTTGACAAGTGACGGGTCTACGGCTTCAGGAAGGCATTGGCTAATGAAATATAGCTCTCACTACTTGGCGGGGGATTGGCAGACGCCAAGCCTTAAGCTAGCGTATGGTTTGTCTTATTCCCACACCGAGGACACCTAAGGTATCTTCCCAGTTCCAGAGCAGCGTAGAGCCCCTTGCTATGTTATTTACGAGGTAATATTTCAATGGCAAGTATATCAGAATCACTACTGTATCCTTAATGTAAGGATTGACCCTCAGGCAGCCTCCTCCTAATCTAGTCCGAACCTTTAAGATTTGATCAAGATGAAAGAACGTTGAGTAATAATACAAAGAAGTGGGAGTGCAGAGCAGTGCAATTTGAGGAATGGCTGTCATCACATTGTTGTTTTGCATAACTTAAGAAACGGATTTTTTAGTAACAAATTCGGCGATAATTATATGAAAGTTCGTTGCTCTCAATGTTCGAGCTTGCATCTTTCCCACTTTTCTGTAAAAACATAATGAGTCCGCTGAATGGAAAAGTGGGAAAGGTGCAAGTTCGAACATTGAGAGCAACGAACTTTCTTATAACTATCGCCGAATTTGTCACCTTCATCCCATGCACTCCATCATCTCAGCGGCATTGAAAAAAGACAAATTGCCAACAACCATAAGACGAACAGCGGCTGGTACCCAAATGCCATCCAACCAGTGATAAAATGTTTGAGATGGAGTTGAATTCGAGAGAGAGATGTAAACCATCAGTCCTGCTCTACACAGAAGATAATGCATACCTCGGCCTCAGCTGCGATCTTCTCCGCTTTTTCCTCCTGGGCGATCTTCTCACACACTTTAGGCCAGGAATCACCCTCAAAGTATGGCATACCGGTCGGTACGCTGACTTGATCTTGAAGTGTAGACTGGTGAATATCCTGAAAGATCAAAAAAGTGAGAAAGGATAAACAACATTAGATTGCCAGTATAACAATAGGGATCAAACGGCTACTGTTTTCACCGGTTAACTGCTACGCTAACAGTCGATTTATCGGAGTACAACCTATAAGCTAGAGCAGTACGGCGTGTAGCTAGTTTGAACAGTATAGTACAATATCCTTGTTTGAAATGTACCGTGCGAAATTACTACTAATACATGCAAATGTCTGCATGCTCATTCACATAGATTCACAGACCAGAAGCATTAGAAAGATGTCATGAAGTTGATTCAAATTGTCATGAAATTTCAAATTGTAACGGAAGGTACTATGTAGTGTACATTTATACATGTGTGCGTTGGATACCCTTTCGTTACACTGGGATAATCTGTATGTACTCCCATGTTGTTTGATACCCTTTGGATGAGGTATCGGTGGCAGGTAACTACTCTTGCTACTCTGGAAATCAACAAATTTCGGCCGGTGAGAAACTTTGGCCGATTTAGAAAAGATCGTTTAATAGTTGTTGCCCTCACGTGCAGCCATGGCTGAATTATGCATCATTTGCCTCGATGACAAATTTTGGCCTGCGGTTAACTTTGGCCAATTGGCACCAAGCGGCGGAATCAGCGAAATAAAATTGCCAGCGAAAATGAGTTGATTTAGAGCACTTACGCGAAACTTGATAACAACTTTTCGAGCAACTGCAATGTCCAGCATTGTCTTGTACCACGGTATTAGAAGCTGTTGTGTGAGTATCCTTTGCCCAGGTGGATGACAGTTGAAAATATAGTCTTGGTTTTTCCCAGGAGGGCATGCCCAAAGGTTAACAGCGACAAAGCCTCGCTTTGCTACATAGTCCTTATAGGCGATAAGCAGCTCATAATACACTTGAGTACGCAACTGCTTTGGCCGGAAGAAATGGACACTGTCCAGATACGAAAGGTATAAACGCCTATAATGAAAATACGCAAAGAACAGAGAGCAAGAAAACACCCAGTACACAATTTACCGCCATGGGCATGTGCCTACTCAGTCTGGCGACACTGGGCAACAAACGAGTTCAACCGCCGCCTGTCACTGTATGATGCACGGCATCCTCTGAAACACGCGACGGCCCATCTAAGCAAACAAAATGATAACCTTGTCCTCAACAAGCCCATCTCCACTGAGTAGTACAGACTGCTGTTCCGCTCCACGAACAGCGAGGCTGAGGCTAAGGAGCGAGTTCAACCCTCGGCAATGCTGGCGTGTAGTGCAAGAACTCGTGCTGCACTTTTGGCGGAGATGGATGCAGGAAGTCGTGCCAGAGCTGAACCGGCGACTCAAGTGGAGGACGGCCGAGACAGACCTCAAGGTCGACGACATCGTTCTAGTGACATCCCAAGACAACCCACGGGGCACTTGGCCAATGGGTCGCGTCACCGAAGTGCACCCTGGTCCAGACGGACACGTGCGAGTTGTGAAGGTCAAGGTGGGCGACAAGACCTACACCCGCCCAATCGTGCGTCTTTGTAAGCTGTTCTGTGAGTAGCTCCTTGTTTGCCTATTTCAGAACAATAATCAATTTCGAATTGTTTGGTCACTGTGAATTTCGGCACAGTGAGAAGGGAGAAAAATGTTTAGAAGAGTATCTCTTTGTCGTTGTTACTATAATCGAGTGGCACATTCGCACTACAATTCTACGAGTGCTAGTTTGAAAATACGTTACGAATTTGAGCAATTGTTACGTTGTACAGCAGGTACGAACAATAATATATTTACATACTCACCGGTTTTCGTTTCGGAGTCCCGCGCTATGACTCAGCTAATTTCTATTTCGTTTGACTTGTATTGTCTGACTAGGGGCGCTGTCACCCCGTCGGGTGCAAGCACCCTTGGACAGAAGCACTTCACTTCACGACAAGTGTTCATTTTCGTTTTCCTCTTCTGCTTCTGTTGCACAGTTTGAACTAACTTTGAATGTGTGCTTTTTTCGTACTCTGCTCTCGATCGAACCATGCGCGGATCGATCTCCATGCATAATTATTTATCTCCCGTTGCCATGACTGGCATAAGTACAGCGTTGCGTACTCACTCGCTGCTTGGCACGCTTGCAGCGCGTCTTTCTTCTGTTGCAACCCAGTGCCTGCGTGCACGGTACGGGATTTGCGATGCCACATCAGCGTTGGTGTGTCGTTGTGCTTCGTTGTTGTTTTGTTCTTTGCTGAGTGTGGTCGTTAAAACTGAGCAAGAACGGGTCGTTGACAAGGCGTGGTTTCGATGTGCATGCCCTCCTGTCAACTCCAAACTACCTCCCTCTCACTCTCACTCTCTCTCTCTCTCTCTCTCTCTCTCACCTTCTCTTGTCTTTATCGCACTAAATCACCCCCTTCTTTTAGGCTATGGTGCGCAAGCTCACGTTAACGCCGAGACCATAGGTCGGTGTTGTGGGCTTGCCTCACCAGCACAGGCTTGCTTTGCAGCCCCTACTCTCCCTGCTGTTTTGTCATTGTATTCTCTGTTGTCTTCTCCCCTTCTGACGAGTAGGTTGTGTACTTAGTAAAAAAATTAAAAAATACAATATATACAGTCAGAAAGTGCAACAACTAGGCACAAAACTGACAGAGTACTGAGACATTCGACGTCCTGACACCTAGCTTCAACACATCTCCGTAGCGCTAACCGACAGCCTTCAGACTTGGAAGGTTCAAGGTTATGGAAAGACCAAAGAGGGGAAGGCAAGCGCAACGAAAACGAGCACAAGCTACAGTCCCAACGGAACAAAGAATGTCGATTGTCACTGGACGATGACGAGACCAGTAGGCGATTTGACAAAGCGGTCTAACTACAATTCGAAGCAGCAAAGCAGCACACCACCCAACTTGGGTGGGTCAAAAATAACAAAGATAAGTTAAGAAGGGGGAAGCTTTGCGAGAACGTCATCGTCCAGTGACAATCGACATTCTTTGTTCCGTTGGGACTGTAGCTTGTGCTAGTTTTCGTTGCGCTTGCCTTCCCCTCTTTGGTCTTTCCATAACCTTGAACCTTCCAAGTTGGAAGGCTGTCGGTTAGCGCTTCGGAGATGTGTTGAAGCTAGGTGTCAGGACGTCGAATGTCTCAGTACTCTGTCAGTTTTGTGCCTAGTTGCTGCACCTTCTGACTGTATATAGTATCTAGTTACAGTGGTGGAGAGTTACTCTTAACTCGTTTCCATATGTCCTTTTCCTTTCTACATTTATTATTGGCTCAATACCCGAGTTTCGTATTGGTTTCGTAAGTCGTCAACTGTGGTTCAAAACGGTAGAATATCTTTGACCGCCTGCCGCCATTGTAGATCATGAGCACGCAGACCTTATCTTGCTGCTCCATTTCTTTCAACTTTCAGTGCATCCTCATGCTTGAAATAACCACATTAAGCGAAGATACCATCCATGATGCGCGCCAGCCACGACAGGGTGCCTTCGTGCATCTGGGCCACAGTGCATTTAACCGGCACATACTGACGATGTCGGGGCTTCCATACTCTACAGTGACTCCTTCACCTGATTCATATACTTCTGTGTTGGTAGAAGACTGCAGACCACCCTCAATGGGTGCTCCGCCGTCAACACCCAACATACATTCATGCCGCATTTCCTGCATTTGCACTTTGCCATAGTGAATCTCTACCAGCACTTCTGAGGTAGCAAGCTGAGTTTCATACATAGATCTACTGAATAGGTAATTATTTACCTGTATGCCATAAGCATCAGCAGCTTCGGACTTGAACTTGAATCATCTTTCATGATAGTTGAGTGAAAGACACCTTTTGTCAAAATTGCAGTTTCTGACCTTCACCTTTTTGGCTAATCTCTTCTTCAGCCCTGCTACTTTGACGGTGTGACAGACTCATTGCTGGCATCGGTGACCAGCCTAGGGTTTCGACCTGCCGTAGAATATGCTCGCTGGCTCTTGGACGTCCTTCAAGCATCCATTGAGGGATATTTTACCTCATTGACCACAAATTCACGAATTTCGATCCATGATTGATATCTCACAAGGCCGTGGAAGAAGACAATTCCGCTAAACGCTGCTGATGCTTACAAACGACAATAATAATGGCAAATCACTTGTCTGTCGAACTAACAAAAACACTTCATGGGAAGAATTCAATCGCCCTCAACAATGATATTTTACTCGATTTCTAAAATAATACAAGTATGCCATGTAATTTTTTTACAAATCACCTCGTACTGTCATAAATTCAATACGTAGATCACTGACCCTACACTGGGATAATCTGTATGTACTCCCATGTTGTTTGATACCCTTTGGATGAGGTATCGGTGGCACATAGCTAATCTTGCTACTCTGGAAATCAACAAATTTTGGCCGGTGAGAAACTTTGGCTGATTTAGAAAAGATCGTTTAATAGTTGTTGTCCTCACGTGCAGCCATGGCTGAATTATGCATCATTTGCCTCGATGACAAAATTGGGCCTGCGGTTAACATTGGCCAATCGGCACCAAGCGGCGAAATCAGCGAAAATGAGTTGATTTAGAGCACTTACCCGAAACTCGATAACAACTTTTCGAGCAACTGCACTGTCCAGCATTGTCTTGTACCACTGTATTAGAAGCTCTTGTCTGACATCCTTTGCCCAGGTGGACGACAGTTGAATATAGTCTTGGTTTTCCCAGGAGGGCATGCCCAAAGGTTAACAGCGACAAAGCCTCGCTTTGCTATATAGTCCGTATACACCCAACATACATTCATGCCGCATTTCCTGCATTTGCACTTTGCCATCGTGAATCTCTACCAGTACTTCTGAGTACTTCTTTCTTGTTTTGAATTGTACGTTGAACTCATTGGATTTCTTTGTATTCTGTATCTCGTTATCGTTATATTTCCCTCTAGCCCTCTCGCTTAGGATGAGCTTTCTTTTTTATGGCAGCTTAAGCGAAGGCTATATACCTGCTTTATGCGGGTTGATGCCAACGCGAACAAGCAAAATAATAATAATAACTTCTGAGGTAGCAAGCTGAGTTTCATACATAACGTTAGATCTACTGAATAGGTAATTATTTACCTGTATGCCATAAGCATCAGCAGCTTCGGACTTGGATTTGAATCATCTTTCATGATAGTTAATTGAGAGACACCTTTTGTCAAAAATTGCAGTTTCTGACCTTCACCTTTTTGGCTAATCTCTTCTTCAGCCCTGCTACTTTGACGGTGTGACAGACTCATTGCTGGCATCGGTGACCAGCCTAGGGTTTCAACCTGCCGTAGAATATGCTCGCTGGCTCTTGGACGTCCTTCAAGCATCCATTGAGGGATATTTTACCTCATATGAATTTACAAATTCGATTTTTCAGCGAATTTTTGGGTAGTCTGCCACCTTAAGGGGGTTCGCGACGGTTAGCGCCATGTTGGATTGTGTTTTGGATTGTGTTTTGTTGCCCGTAAAAGAGGCTTTTGGATCATCAAAATCATCATCATTATGCAAGCCTGCGGACCAGTTCAGGCCTGCACGGGCATCCCGGCTGGGGTGGAGGCTATGGTGCACTCAATGACGGCTGCCTTTGCTTCGGAAAAGGCTGAGGCAGTGTTGCTAGTCGATGCTCGCAATGCCTTCAATAGCTTGAATCGCCACGCTGCATTGCACAATATTGCTCGAGTATGCCCCCCGCTAGCACAAATAACATTGAATACTTACCAAGACCCTGCATCCCTCTTTGTGCGTGGTGGCCAGTCTTTATTGTCACAGGAGGGCACAACCCAGGGTGACCCTCTTGCGATGGCCATTTATGCCACGGCTCTCACCCCTCTCGTCAAGTCAGTCGGAACCAATGTTGCAGATGTGTGCCAGGGATGGTTTGCAGATGACTCGGCAGCTGCCGGAGGGCTCTCCCCATTGCGAAAGTGGTACAACCTCCTTAAGGAAGAGGGCCAAAAATACGGCTACAACATCAACGAAACAAAAACGCAACTACTCGTCAAGCCTGGCTTTGAGTCCTTGGCTGCCGAGACTTTTGGTGACACAACTATCCACGTCAAGTCTCGTGGCGTTCAGTATCTGGGCGCTGCTATCGGGACTGAGGCATTCCTCGGAGAATTCAAAGAGACAAAAGTAGAAGAGTGGGCGAAACATACAGAGATTTTAGCAAATTATGCCGCATCAGAGCCGCATGCAGCATACTCTGCGTTGACCCATGGCTTAGTCAACAGATGGAACTATGTGTTTCGAACTATGGCTGTTTCTGCGGAGGACTTGGCGCCGTTGGAGCGGGAGCTTCACTCCTCACTTCTACCGGAGCTCGTGGGACAACCGAGCGTGCCTCTGAAAGACATTGATATTCTAAAGCTCCCGACACGGGATGGTGGGATGGCCCTTCCGGACCTCACGACTCGACCACGGTTTGAGCACCAGGGCTCCAAGCAAGTGTCCGGACCTATGGTGAAGGAGGTTCTGGGCGATTTCGCTAAGGATAGCGATCCAATTTCTCTCGCTGGAGATGTGCCGGCTTCTGCAGATACTGCTGACCGTGGTGGAGCGTCTCCCACTCCCACGATGACGGCAACGGAGGTGCAGCCGCGGGAGGTCGCTGGCAACTCAAACCCTGGACCGGATGTGGCTGCTGATGTTGCTGGTGCTGGTACCCCCTTTCAGAGGATGATCGATGAAATGCGTCACAAAAAGCGTGTCGTCCACACCGAAAACCGGGAGCGCGCAAAGGCAGCCAGGAACAAAATAGTGGACACGAGCGATGAGATGACGAAGCGACGAATAGAAGAACACACGGAGAAAGGATCATCCTCATGGCTGAGCGTGCTGCCCCTGGCGGAGCATGGCTTTCGTCTCACCAAGCGTGACTTCCGGGATGCTCTGGCATTGAGATATGCATGGCCGCTAGCCAATACACCAGCAACCTGTGTGTGTGGTGAGCTGTTCTCAGTTGAGCATCAGCCATGTTGCGCCAGGGGCGGCTTCCCGACACTTCGTCATAACGAGATACGTGACCTGCTGGCGAGGGAATTGACTGAAGTCTGCACTGCCGTTTCGACAGAACCAGCGCTGCAACCTCTTTCTGGTGAGAGGTTTCCTCTTCGGTCAACGAACCGCCGAGAGGATGCGCGCCTGGACATAGCCGCTCGAGGGTTTTGGACCCGTGGGGAGGAAGCTTTTTTTGATGTAAGGGTATTTTGCCCAGATGCTCCTTCCTACGGGTCCAGAACCCTTCCTGCATTGTACCAGCAGCACGAGCGGCGTAAGTGGAACGAATATGGGCCAAGAGTCACAAATGTAGAAAGAGCCGCTTTCACACCTCTCGTGTTCTCTGTGCATGGTGGTTGTGGGAGGCTGTGCAATGTGTTCCTCAAGAGACTGTGCCAGATGCAGGCCGAGTCATCGGGATCTCACTATTCCCAGGTCATTGGTTTACTCCGCTGTCGGCTGTCTTTTGCTTTGCTGCGTGCTGCTGTGTTGTGCATACGTGGGGCTCGGTCACGGTACCACCATCCGGCGAGATGTTTTCATGATGTCTCGATTGCCGTGGCCGAGTCAGGTCTAGTTTGTTAAGTATCGTGCTGTGTCCTGACTGTGCATGTGGGATTGGTATGGCGCTTACCCTTTTGTTGCTGTTTTGTTGCTTTCATGCCTTTAAGCATGTAATTGTGTTCAATTGTTGTATTTCATGGAAAAACGATCTTTGCGTTGGATTCATTTAAACTATTATTTGTGTAGGGTTCCACTCCTTCATCTTGGGAAATTGTGTTTTGTTTGCCCAAAGAAGTGGCTTCATCATCATCAAAAAAAAATCATCATCATCATAATCATCATACATCTCAATCTTCGGGAGGTAGCTATTCGTCGTTGATGGGTTATTATCGTTGTCGGGTGTCTTTCGCGCTGCTATGTTCCGCTGTTTTGTGTGTCAGGGGTGCTCGGTCGGCCCGTCACCGTCCAGTTCACATGCTTCGTGAGTTGGCGATGGTGGAGGGTCGGGTTCCCCTGCAGTGATTGGTGCTGCACCGAGCTAGTTTGGTGTGAAAGTGTAACTATTGTTATTATTCTTATATTTACATCAAGTATTACTAAATAATTGAGAGGCTTTGAATCGTTTTTATCAAAATCAAAATATTTGCCGGGTTGGAAGGTGGGATCAAAAAATCATCATCATCATCATCATTTTTTGATGTAAGGGTGTTTAATCCTGACGCTTCTTCCTACGCGTCCCGAAGCCTGGACGCGCTCTTCCGGCAACATGAGGGCGCTACGAGACTGCAATATCAGGAGAGAGTAGTCAATGTTGAGCGTGGTGCCTTTGCACCTCTTGTGTTTTCCGTGAATGGGGCTGCTGCGCCGGCATCCACGGCCTTCCTCAGGCGCCTTTGCCTCCTTACATCTCAATATTCGGGAGGTAGCTATTCGTCGTTGATGGGTTATTATCGTTGTCGGGTGTCTTTCGCGCTGCTACGTTCCGCTGTGTTGTGTGTCAGGGGTGCTCGATCGGCCCGTCACCGTCCAGTTCACATGCTTCGTGAGTTGGCGATGGTGGAGGGTCGGGTTCCCCTGCAGTGATTGGTGCTGCACCGAGCTAGTTTGGTGTGAAAGTGTAACTATTGTTCTTATTCTTATATATACATCAAGTATTACTAAATAATTGAGAGGCTTTGAATCGTTTTTATCAAAATCAAAATATTTGCCGGGTTGGAAGGTGGGA